CTTCTGATGGCTTTTCTCGGGTGAAATCAGCCAAGGATGGATTCTCTACAAATGATGTAATTGACATGCAACATAATGCAAGTCCCAAATTGCGCGGAAGTCTAAAGCACTGCCCCCACACATCGCTTCGCGGCGGGCCGAGTACTTGCCGAAGCCGAGCCGCGCCGGGCGTCAGGCCACTTCCCTCTGGCCCCACGCTGTCCAGCTGTGATTTCAATGATTCCACCAGGTCCTCAAACTCAAGAGACTGGCCAGCGAAGTGAGAGACAGGGGTCTACTCACTGGCAGGGACACGAGATCAAATCAACTTAAACACCATCTACATAGACATAGACATATATCATCTAGGGAAGTTCTGTTATGATCTGTTATGTTGCGAACCACCACTGTTGCATGATAAAATGAAGCTTCTTTTGCCCAACACCTCAAAGATGAGCTCCAGACCCAGACTTGGAAGTACCTCAGATCGGACCACAGCGCCGTGTTCAGTCATGGAAATGCCAAGCTCTGCTGTTAGACAACTTTCCAGAGTTTTCAGTTTCCTTTTGACCTACCTCCACTTAAATTCCAAATCCACAAATCCTGTGCGTCGACACAATTCTGGGCCAGGTGGCACGTCGTTCGTTTGCCCCTCAACGCCTCACTCGTGAGGCAGTCCCAAAACCCGATTGCTGAGGCGGAAAAGCAAAGCAAACCAGGGCCAATGTGCGGATGAGTGAAAAATAGATTAAACAAAGATCTTCAGCAGAAGAAACTGGAGCACTGCACTTCTGCATCTTTAGCATCTTCAAGCCAAGGCGCTGATGAAGCCGAAGTTCTTCTCCTAAGTGTGGTCAGCTGGGATCATATTGGGCACATGGTTCACCTTCAACTCTCGGCTCTCAGATGGCAAGTCCTGTACCTTTGCCAAGTTGGGAGCAAAGCCCCTAAATCATTGGCTACATTGATCATCAGAAGGCAAATGTTCGATCATGAGCGACCAGGCAAAATATCGGTCAACTTTCACCAGGCGACTGCGTTGTAGGACTTCAACCGACCAACCAGCTCGCACCCAGGGATGATTTGCTTCTCTACCTGGTGCGAGGAAAAGTGTCAACATATGTCAACATGTCCATCCAAGATGATCCATGTCCCGCGGCAGTGCAGTGTCAACTCGTTCAAGAAGGATCTAGGATCGACCTCGTTCTTCCCGCCTTTGGCAAACTGCTCTTCCCCTTGCCGCAGCCTTTGCCACCACCATAGTCCATGGACCTGAAGGTGGATGGGATTCGGACGCCTCGAAGAAAATTACACCACCGTAGACCCCAAACAGGTGGGACAACAAAGAAACATTCCCAAGTCGATTTTTTTTGAGACATGGGAAACAAGAAGGAAGACAAGGTGGACACAATGACCAACAAGAAGGGAGGAAAGAAGGGTGACAAGGGATACAAAAGGAAACAGGAAGGGAGACATCCTTCATACCCGCGGGAATTGTTCATGACATTTCATGACTCCATTTGCCGAAGAGAAGCCCCCATCCATCCCATCCATAGGAGTCCCAGCCATCTCCATCCTGAGCTTACGAAGAATCGAAGAAAAATCTCCGACGGTCCTTCGAACGGTCCAACGGTCACATTTGATCCCCCTTTTTCAAAACAGCGGTTCAGGCCTTGAAGGCAACGAAGCAACATGAGGCAACCAGGTTGACCCGTTTCAGGTTGCGCGGGTGCATGGCTTACGTGCTCTGTTCAGCCAAGAGTCTCCCTTGCCCCAACCTGGAAAGCAGCAAGGAGTGCAACTGAAGAAGTTTGCATCCGGCTGCAAGCTGCATGCTGAACACTTTGTGGAAAATAATGCAACATGAGTTTGTGCGGGCCCTTCCAACATCCACCGCTTCGGTCCTTCGGTCCTCCTTCGGTCCTCCTTGCCCTTTGGCCCCGGCCTTTGCCCCCCAGCATCTCGGCCGTAAGGCCTCCAGGAGAGCTCCCATCGCCCGCCAGGACCTCGTGGGCGACGACACCGAGAACCGCGCCCAGCTTGGGCGGTGGCGAACGGCACTTTTGAAAAACAACTACAGTAGTATGTAACTACTATATAGTAACAAGATGTAACAAGGGCATTACTACTAGTAACAGGTATACACCTTCTTGCTACTAGTAGTAATGCCCTTGTTATTTCACAATCTGAATCCATTCCTCCTTCCCGGTCTCCCAACAACTAAACCGGACAGTGCAGTCAGGAAGCGATCTCTTTCGCCTGCCATCCTGAGCTGCAAAGAGGCTGTTCTCTGCACAAAACCTGATGGTCAGCTCTTTCATCCACAAAGCTCTCGCTCCTTCCCTGGGTGGCGCGCTGTCCACTCGGGTGCCCCTTCCCGGCGGGCTGTCCCCGGTTCGGTCCAAGGCTCTGCTGTCCGTCTGCGCATAGACGGTAAACCACACCACGGTCCCCACAGGGCCCATCTCTTCGCATCTCATCTGCGCGTCGGGCCCCACATCGCCTAGGAACGAAGAAACAAAGAAGACCGTCTGGAATTGAAAGAAGAAGACCTATACGACTATAGACGTGCAAAACGATGCTCACTTCTGCCATGGGATCCTTGGAGGCGACGGTCCCAGCCAAGAGCGAGCGACCGAGGTCTCCGAGGCCCCGAACGGCCCTGAAAGTAAATGTCAATGGGGTTCCCAGTGACGTTGATGAAGCCTCGGCTCGATCTTGACAGATCAGGTCATCTCGCCGTCAGCACTTTCATGTCCTTTGCATTCTCAGTGGGTCTCGAAGAAGGCCCAAAGCGCCGTTCGGAGCAACTCTCAGGTGCGAAACAAAGCTGTTTGATTGCACAGTCATTTCCTAGACCTCATGCGAAATCGTTTCGTGGGTGGATGTGGTTCCTTGAGAAGACTTGGCAGTTGAAGGATGGATGAAAGTTGAAAGTTCTTCCAGTCAAGCCACCAAAGCCTTTATAGTCATAAAAATACCGGATCATGCCCGCCATCTTCATGCCATCAAGCATTTGCACCCCAGATTCAAGCAGGCTCACGTTCCTGCAGAGCACCGTACCCCGGAGAATCCCGTAGTATTGAGTAGGAAGAGCTTGTGTTGGAGGTTTACTTTGCTGCCGGCCAACACACCCGCATGCTCAATCCCATTTGCAACATACAGCCTATGAACAAGCTAGGAACCTTTTCAGTGCAAAGCTCCAGAGCCTGACCCCTAGAGCAACAGATCGGCGAATGATGCCCAAACTGAACACGTTCGTTCTGAACCAAACTATTTCGTTCATCCAAAACCTTTGGATGGAGCAAGGACGCTACTAGGGGCTCCTGGCATCGCTACTAGGAGCAAGGTTCTCAGGATTCCGATGCACAAGTTCGGCGCGAAATCTGGAATCATTAGAAACAAGGAGCTATTAGTAACAAGTGCCACGCTACTAGTAACAAGTGCCTTACTAGTAGTAACAAGAAGCTACTAATTTGATATAAATTACCGGACCCGCGCGTCCGGACCCAGTCCGGCCATTCCAGCGGCCGTCGGCCCTGGCTTCCACGCGGCAGGTGGCGATACAGTTCGCCAGGCCCGCGCCACCCACTAACCTCGGTGGGGCAACGAAGTGAAACGGTCCTCTCCCAGCTGTTTCAGACATTCGTGTCATCCAATGTAATACCGGAGAAATCAAGGATGAGAGAGACAAGGGCCATTGATTCGTAGAACTTGATTGACTGATTCCTCCTTTTGCACATCTACATGCATGCATTTGCGGTAATTTTCCTGGCCAACTGGCTAAAGGGCAAGTGTCAGCCGTCAGGCTTGGAGCCTTCTTCTAAAACAGAACCAGCCAAGAAGCATCAGGAGCCCTTGCGAGGCTTCATCCATGTCCTGAGTCAGATCATCTTGCAACTCAACCAGACCTCAAAAGGCTCGAAGTCACGGCGAAACTCAGCAACAGTCAAACCCTGGATACGTCGACACACAGGAACTGCATGCTGTCTGTCTGACCCCTTTTAGGACCCTAAAGCCATACCACAGCTTCCAACTCTGAGCTCCAAATGCCTAGTGTCTCTGCCATGGAAGTAGAGGTCCATATTGGCACCAGGAATTTTCAGAAAGCCAAAGCCTCTGGTCTCATTGAAGGACTTGACCTTGGAGGCATGGCAGGTTCCTCGCATGTGATCGGATGGTGGGACGTGCATGTGTACCATGGAATCGTCACGTTGAACGCTTGTGCGGTGGCACGGACCATGTCTCGCGACATGTGACATGGTCCATGTCTGCACTTCACATCGTCCCGTCCCGTCGAACACAAAGGGACGCAGGACGCAGGACGCATGGATCAACCACTTATCACCGGTCCAAGAGGCGGTGGCAGTGATGGTCGTCCCATCCCTCAAAGAGAAGGGCTCCACGGTGGAGGGATCCGAATCCCCCAGGCACAAGTCCATGCCCTGGATTCCGATCACACAAAGGTCCACAAGAAAGCACGGTGGTGTGGATGCCCGGGGTTCGAAGCTTGCGAAGCTTGTGAAGCTATCACAAGCTTGAAGGGTTTCATCGGAAGAGATCGGTTCTTTCAGGATCATTCTTTTATTTCAGAAAGCATCCAACCAACAAATCCAGCCTGTGCAGAGCCATCCGCCAGGTCTTTCAAGAGGAAGCTGACCTGTTCAAATATTCTCAAGTGTGCCCCCAACAGGGTGTTGCTATGTGATCGGCTTCGGATGCCGGTCGCCGTCACGTTGGGCCTCTGCGGCCTCCGGAAAACATTGAAATCCACGCACCCTCCATTTGCCTTAAATCGACATCCACAGATTCCCTTCGCAACAAAACCGTCAGCGGGCTTGATGCTGCAAACTTTTTTGGATGACCCGAACAGCTACAGACACGCTGGCTGCACAAGGCATCACCTTTTTCAGAGAGAGTCCGGCTTTCGCTGACCCCTCTGATGACTATTTCTCACCACACTCTCCTGGTTTCTGTGTCTCTCAAGCGAACTCCCCCACACCTTTCGCACCGCCAGCAATTCAACAGGCTTGGACTCCCTCCACGGTGCCATCTGGATAGTCTCTGCGGACACAAAGAAACGGCCGCAAATGGGGATCCTTGAGATTGATCATTCCTTCCTTCAAAGGTCCCTCCTTCTTCCACGACCGTGCAATGGCTTTCTGTTCTCGCTTGGGTTCGAGGAGGTCGACGAGGTGGAAGACCTCACCACTTTCCAGGTGGATGACCTGCTCTCCTTGCCACATTTTGGTGGGCTCTTGAACTTCCCACAAACAAAGGAATCCTGCGACCATCCACTTCAGTTCCGGCCTCGGTTCCGTAGAGTTTGGGCCCCCTTGGAATCCTTTAAACAAAAGGCCAAAATCTGGAGTTTCTTTTGTTTTCTGGATGCAATAGAGCTGGCCCTTGGACATCGGCAGGAAATACTGTTCCCACTGGCTGTGCCCCTGTCCATATGTCGATGGACACCGGACCCAAATCTTGACCGTGTCTCCGACATAACGTGCCATGTAGGCTTGAACTTCAGAGAGCATGACGCGCTTGGACTTGAAGTCGGTGTTGTGTGCGGCTGGAACCGGTAGAGGTCGCTCAGGTTCAATCGGTTCATTGCCATAGAAACGGTCAGGCACGTTGTCCCGATCGTTCCGCCTGCTCGCAAGCGTGCGGACAAGGTTTGATCTGTGTGGAATACAGTGTATATGTATATATATTTGCCTGACAAGGGAGGGGGCGAAAGCCAGCCTCCGTAGGAAGACATCAATGTGGTTATGGGGTGAAGTCGACAGCCCACTTGAACTGCTATCAGGCATGAGGAAATGCAGAGAGGCGCAAAGTCTCGCATTGAGGGTCGATATGATACACACAAGGTCTTGATCAAGGTCCATTCACTGCTAGCGGTTATAGGATAGAAGTGGAGCCCATGCGTTAGCAGAAAGGTTGAGTTGAGCAGGACATATACAGTCTGGGAGGTGGGCAGGCCATTTTAAGCCCGCAAATATCCTCCTGAGTTGTCCGAACAGCAATTATCTCTACGAGAAAGAGATTTTAGCTTGCGCAAAGTCTCGCCGCTGGATGGAACACACCTGGTTAGCCTGGTCAACTCCCTCAGTCTGGGGTGACGTCGTTTCTTGCACTTCCTTCTACTCTTTTTAGCCACGGGAAAGCAGAAGGCTGAGAGACGCAGCGTCTCACTTTGCTTTGAAGCTCGATATGATAGAGCCGGGATACACAACGCCTGGATCAACTCCCATGTACTGTTACTGGGCATAGGATAGACTTCGGTCCGTACAAAAGTCCGACTATAGCTCTGAGGCCCTTGTGCGTCCAGTTAACAGCCCTCTTCACCATAAACTATACCAGCGTTGACCCCAAACAGTTTGCTTGGTCCACATCCAAGTCCACACAAATGTAAAATCATGCGGCCACAGCACCCACAAAGGAATGGAGACAGTGGGAGACAAGTGTGAAATCGTGCGGCCAGAGCACCCACAAAGGGACTGGAGACAGTGGGAGACAAATGGGAGACAAGTGTAACAATCATGCGGCCAAAGCACCCACAAGCGAGTGGAGGCAGTGGGAGACAAGTGCGAGACAAATGTAAAAGTAAAATCATGCGGTGGCTATCGTGATATATACAAAATGATATATACAAATACATTTACTTTTTGTCACATGGCACGTACATTGGCAGTAGCATTGAACTACATGATAGGGCATGGCGCATGGCGCTGGACTACACGCTCACACTGTCGGGATCCTACAAGGATACACTGCGCTAGGAGCCATGGCTCCCTCCTATCGTTTTCCCTGCACGGTGGACCTGACAGACGCGAATGGAACGTTGGAACACAATTGGACGCCCAAGTCCTTGTCCTCCCAGGCTGCGCAGGCTGCTGCGCATTGCCCAACATCTCTTCGCGCGACTGTGTCAAATAGTTCGAAAGCATGTCCTGTGAAAAGTCAGGATGGGCAAACATAAACCTCGAACCTTCAATCTGTGAAGACACCTTCCAGCCCCCCGCGATGGTTTTCCATCGTTCATGGTCAAGAAAATGGGCCCAATGTCCTGCGCTTAAAACTACACAGAATTATACCCACATGCATCAGTTCCTTGAATTCGAAGGTTTGTGGAATTGTCTATAAAATATTCCTATAGCCCAAAGGCTAAGCCGGCTCCCCGCGCGCGTTCAGCCTAAGAGGTTACACATGTCAGGGCAAAGGTATATTTGGTAAATTATGTAAATCGATAAATTCGATGCATTGGTAGACTTCGGTAGACTTCGGTAGACTTCCTGACTCTGCACATCGGAAATAGGAAAAAATCATGTAACATCAGTAAACCGTCAAATGTGGTAATTTGTTTACCCTTTACCGCGCTGGTGTCCTAGAGTGCATCAAAAGCAACAAAGGCAGAAAACAGCCAGCCAACGCAACAGGGCATGCGCGCAAAACGCTACAAACAAGGAAACAGAGCATTTTCCCAGCAGAGACCGGCCGGCCCACATGCTGTTCGTTTCACATGAGCACGTGGATTCGCACCTAAAATGCATCCGTGCATCACTCAATCCATGTGTTTTCAGCTTTGCTCGACTCGGATTCAGGGTCTGCGCAGTGTCAAGCCTACAACTTGACGAAGTCTGTGCACCTTCTAGAAGAGAAGATGCGGATTGTTAGATCTTAACCAAAGACAAGCAGACAGACTCTTGAATTGAACAGCTTTGGCTCTACGGTGGACGACTGAAGATTGGCTCGCATTGTATTTTTTGCGTCATGTGAGACTTCTCTCACTCCATGAGTCTGGCTGACCTTTGGAAAATCGCTCATGTGTGTTAATTTTTTGTGTTTTGTTAAACCGTGTTTCCTCTTCACTTCTGTTACCTCGGGATTTTACAAGTTTACCGTTTGCCCTTTTCCCCACGCTTGCGCGCGCTCGGCATTTCATTGTTTTGCTGTATTACCTTTTTACCGCGGGCCTCTGCAACGGAAACTCCGTAACCAGAAGACACACCGCGAGGCAGCACAGCCCATAGCCTCGAGCTGTTTGGGAACGGCAGACACAATTTTGTGGGATGGTATCAAATTTGACACGCTGCATCACTGTTGCTTTCAACAAGCCCGGACAAGGCAGTGGGGAGAGGAAAGACGGCACGGCAAAGCAGAACACACACACACATACACACACACCCGAATAAGCCAGGACAAGACCCTGTACAAGGCGGAGGAGAAAGGTTGGACAGCGGCCAACAGTGAACTGTTTGGGGAACCAAACCAACAATCAATAGCACACTTGGCTGAAACTAGGTTAGCCAAAGACTGGAGGGTTGCATCGGCCTTGGCGGTTCAATCTACGTGTGAATGACCCACTCTATGTGACATGCAGAGTTTGTTGGAGCCACACTTTTTTCGTGGCTCACACAATACAATGACCACCTTCACTCTCAATTTAGCTTTTACGAAATGAACTCAACACAGCATGATGACTTGCGAAACATGTGTGTCCTGTATGCATCAGGCGGCTCGAGTGAATTTCCAGCAAAAGAACTCAAATCAACATCGTGACTATCTCTCAGGCAGAGACTTGGAATCTGATACAGCAAAGACAAACGCTCATATACAGGGGCGCACCGATGAAGAACAGAGACTCAATCGCAATATCAAGAAACATGCAAAAGCAAGTAAATTAGAAGACCTGACAATCTCTGCTGGTTTAGCGTAGTTGCCGGGGTTACGGGGTTAATCCGAGGCATCTGCGCGGTAAAAACGGTAAAAATCGAAAATTTGACTTGTTTTACCGTTTTCCCCGGGGGGGGCACCCCTTTTTCGTCTACCATATCCGCGGTAAAACCAGTAAAAATCGAAAACTTGCTGTTTTTACCGTTTTGCCCCCGGGGGGGCACCCCTTTTTCGTCTACCATATCCAAGGTAAAAACAGTAAAAATCGAAAATTGTCTGTTTTTACCGTTTTTACCGGAGGCCGCTCCTTTTGTTCTAGGCGTCCCTTTTTCTTTCTACCATATTCGCGGTAAAAACGGTAAATACCGTTTTGCTTTTTCCGTTTTCCCGGGGGGGACACGGCCCTTTTTCTTTTACCATATCCGCGGTAAAAACGGCCAAAATCGATTCTTTTTTGCCGTTTTTAGCGGGGGGCGCTTCCTTTTTCAATACCATATCCGCGATCAAAACGATAAATTTTTGCTCTTTTTGTACCGTTTTGATCGAGGGGGGCAAATGGGCTATGTGTTTTTTCAGTTTTTAACGGAGGGTCACCGCTGTTTCTTCTGCCATATCCGCGGTAGGTAAAAATCGAAAGTGTTCGATCCAAGTGATGTAGGCCTTCATTGCCCTGCAAAAGTTAAAAGTCATGAAATTTTGATCAATCACCAAACTCCTCTTGTCGAAAAGGGCACACGCTCCTATATGATAGGAGGAGTGAACCCCACCTGATTATAGGAAGATACCCGGGCTGTAACATTAAACCTTTTTGTTGACAGAGGTCTTCTAGCTTGCGACCTGGTCCCGAGGCATTGTCGCGGTAAAAACGGTCCAAAGTGAAAATCACTACTTTTGTTGTTTACCTTTTTAAATGAAGAGTCGCTTGCTCTTTTTGCTTCTACCATATCGTTAAAAATCAAAGTTGTGTTATTTTCCGTTTTTGTAGGTGGACTTGTCCTTTTTGTTTTCTACCATCTCCGTGGCAAAAATAGTTTTTACTGGGGGCGCTCCATGTTTAAATTTCATATCCGCGGTAAAAACGGAAAAAATCAAAAAGTTTATCTGTTTTACCGTTTTTACCGGGGGGGCGCCCCTTTTTCTCCACCATATCCGCGGTAAAAACGGTAAAAATCGAAAATTTGTTTATATGTTTTACCGTTTTTACCGGGGGGGCGCTCCTTTTTCTTCTACCATATCCGCGGTAAAAACGGTAAAAATCAAAAATTTTCTTTTTTTATCGTTTTTACCGGGGGGGCACTCCTTTTTCTTCTACCATATCCGCGGCAAAACGGCAAAACTCGAAAATTGTATTTTTTTACCCTTTTTTTCCTGCGGGGTCGCGAAAGGATACCCGTTAGCAAAACAACGCTCGCGAACCAGCTTAGCAGATTCCAGAACTGCTTGGAAACAAAACTGTTTTGAAAAACAAAACAAAACTATACCGATATCAAAAATAATCAGAGTCAACGAGTGCCTATTTCCAAAAAAGCACACGCCATAGCAGAATACTCATACAAAAAGCAATGGGGTCCATCAGGCAACCACCCGCCCGCTGACAGAAACAAGGAGAACATTTTCAATCATGAACTTCCATTCAATGTAACCCTCTTTCAGTGCCTGAAATACAACATGTAATTATCTCCAAAATCAAGGTCAACAAAGCCGCCGGCCCTGATATCAGCGAGCTCTTTGATTCAAATGGCTAGATGACCACAACATCCAAGTATTCACAAATTGCTTAGATGTTTTCTGGCAAGAGGGTAAGGTTACGGATAACTTCACGCGAGCCCGCGTAGCATTTTTGTAGCTTTAAAAAAGGAGTTCAAGATAATCCTGAAAATTACCGTCCTATGTCCGTATTAAATAACAGCTGCAAAATCTTCACACGTGTTATTCAAGAAAGACTCTCTTCAACCGTCCTTGATCCACATATCTGTGATACTCAGTTTGGCTTCGAAGCCAGCCGCTCCACGGCCGACCCGCTTTATTGCGTCCAGCGTCTTACAGACTTTGTAGAACAAAGAAATGAAATGACCCATTAAAATTTTCAAGGATATAATATATATATATAATATTTAGTCTTCCTGGATTGGGAGAACGCTTTTCATAAAGTTGACAATGAAAAATGTGTTCTATCATTTGCAAGATTGCGTATACCCCCAGCTCTGTTGGACAACATCAAGAACATCAAGATCACCCAGAACGCTTTTGAAAGCGATTGGAACAAGTCAAGCAGCGCACGGATTCGACAAGGCCTGCCCCCTAAGCTCTTACCTCTTCATGGGTCAGCCAACCACTATCTACATTTAATCGAACAAAAGTCGAAGTATCTATAATTGAAACTAAGCACTGATAAGTGTACTTACATCTCTTTCAATTCCAGTAGAGGCAACATACGTTTCAGGAATGGAAACAGAATGCAGACTTCATCCGATGGAAACCCAGCTCAAGAGATTCGTCGTCGCATCACTTCCACAATGCTAGTTTTGAGACGTCTTGACATCTTCTGGAATAAAACTATGTGTAGCAAAAAGACTTCTTGTCTACAACTCGGTCATGACCTCTCGCGTTCTTTAAAGCCATCAAGAATTATATACGCAAAATTCTAAAAGCTCCATACGACTTTCATTGATAGAAGCAACACGAATGATTTTCAGGAGAGTTGATGAAGTGATTGACTCCCCGACCAGGCCCGTTGCGTAAATGAAACCATTGTCTGAAATTCTGGAAATGAAACGATTGAACTTCTGGGCCATATCATCCGCAGAAATCGCTCGCATCCCATCATCCCCAACACCAAGTCACCGTTTGCTCCAACACTGCTGTTCCCAAAAGTTCCGGCTCAACGAAGAGTAGGAAGACCGAGAAGAAACTGGACACTGAAAAATGCAAACAAGTGTAGGATATCATCAAAGCAAATGATAGGTCGCAACCTAAATTTCCCTTTTAACAGCCATAGCAAAGCTTTGATACAAAAAGCGAGAGTAATACCTCCCCCCATTAGATGAACTCTGGACATTGGCATCTAATAAGGAAGGCACTTTACGAACTAAAAACAGGATTCAATGCAAGACCAAAACCATCGTCCTATGTGAAGTAAACGATCCATGTGAAAGGGATAATACTCCACGTGAAATGAGCGCTCCATGTGAAACAAACACTCTATGTGAACTGGGAACTCTATGTGAACGGACACTCTGTGTGAACTGGGCACTCGAGGTGGAATGGCGACTCAAGACCTTAATTTCACAAATACTTCAGCAATACCATGAGCACCTCCCTCGTTTGTACAGAACCGTTCTTTGTTCGGCTATTTTCCATCTATAGATTCTACCTTTCTCACCAAGCACGACCTGGTAACAGGTAACAAATGTCAAAGTTCCTCAGTTCCCTCTGCACATAGCATATTACTTACAGTACACAGTAGGTTTAGGGCCAACGGCCAGAATCCAGGCACTGCCAGAAGTGGTTTCGGCGTTAAACAAGAAACTGGCCCATACCATTGCTCTTAGGTCCGCTTGGAGGCCATTGGGCCATCGCTTCCAGGTTGGAGGCCATCGCCATTATGTCCAATAAAAATCCATTTGCTTGTATGCTGAACTGGTGCAGCCGAAGGACACCCACCAACTCCAGCAGGATTTGGAACTCGACCGATCCATCCGGGATGCCCCGGAAGGAGGGCGCATGGCCTGAACGCACGGTGCCGACATGGTCGCTTTTGACCCAAAGCTGAGTATCTCTGCAATCCCTCAAACTCAGAAACCGAAACAGCCCTTGACGCCTAGTGGTGACCCAAGTTGCCAGCCACGGGTACTGGAAGATGAACGCTCGAACATCCTCAGCCGAATTGCAGAACAGTGTATCTTTTGCAACTGTAGACATGGGCGGATCTGTGGGCATCGGCGACATGATGTTTCAATCTCGTGCAGTCAGTGCCCAAAATGCATCCAACTGATCCTTGTCTCATGCCAGGGGGGGCCATTACCCACCCTGTAGAAGGGGAAGTAGACAACCGCAGGAAGAGAAGTCCATGGGGCCATAGTCATGTAGATCTGGGACCCAAAATCTGAATAAGGGAAATCTACCTGTCTCACGTTTCGACCTCCTTCTTGTCTCATCGACCCTCCCCGAACGCCGGCCGAGCAACGGGGCGATCTGATCTCGAATGACATGCAGCTGGTGCGGCTCGATTGGCAAGTGATGCTGGCCAACGTTCACCTTGTAGAAGAGCTGTTGGCTTTGGTCCCGAACCACCAACCCTGCTTTGTTTGTGAAGTCATGGAAAGGGCCGCCTTCCAGTGCTTGCAACTGGACCAGCCTGGGCACACGACAGCTTTGGTGGCCACCAGAATTGTAGACTTGCATTCTAGGTGGAACTTTTGCGGAAGCTACAAAATCAGCGCGACAAAAAGATACAAAAAGGGGCAAACCCCTGATCCAATGGCCAAACATCGTAGTGCTGGCAAACCCAGCTTGGTGAAAAGATCTGACCAGGTTACGCAGCGATTTCTTCCCATGCTTGGTCTCGCTAGCCTTCTAGACCCAAGAAGAAGAAGAAGAAGAACAACAACAACAACAGAGACGACAAAAACCACCAGCGACGACGGTGACGTCGGGAAAAACTAGACTGTGAAAAGAGGTGCGCCAAAAAAAGAAGCGCTGCACGAGTCACTGGCCATGCAGTTCGTTCGTGGTGGGCTTCTTTCCCAGCATTGGCGCCCAAAGACTCTTGTGATTCAACAAATGAATGGCGGCCTTGGGGGCTCGACCGGAGCCAGGAAGGAACTTCAGGGCGCAAGAGTCCAGCTTTGAAACAACTATGCCAGTGCAAAAGAAGCTTGCCAAAACCTGGAGATCGACGTTATCCAAGGGCATTCGAACTACACCAGCATTGCAATCATCATCGTATATCTCTGCTGTCCGGTGAGTCAAGCAGTAAAGGTACCAATTCCAGTACTCCCGGACAGCCTGAACATCCCTGAACGCGGCGGTCATGCAAAAGAACGAGGTCTTCTCCTCTAACTTGGCACTCGCCACTCTCTGCAGGTCTGTCTCATTCAGGTCTTTGTACGTCTTGACCAGGATTGCTCGAACTCTTTCTTCAGTGAGATGCTCTGTTGGTAATGAATACGCATGAGTGATCGCTTTCGCCAAGGATTGAAAGGGACAAGCTGAACCCGGTGGTTCTGTATCTACAACCGTGCGCTGATGTGCGCTTGATATCCATTCCTTCAAGTACTCGAACTGAAGCTCCTCTTGCTTGCTCTTATCAAAAGCACTCTCAGTGAAGAAAAGCTTTGCTGACATGGCCCACTGAAAGCACACGGCTCAAGGCTAGGTGTCGATCAGAACATGTGGCCGTCTTGGCTGTCGGTTCCTAGAAACCCAGGTTTGTAGCATCCAAATGTGACTGTCTGAGAATCCAGCCATTCATTTGAGGGTGACTGCCGTCGTTTGGACGTCCACTGCGGAGCATACGTGAGTGACTGCGCCGAGAAACTTCACCCCAAGCGCTGGGAGCCGGAAAATTCCGCGGCGGAAACCTCCCATGTCAGCGATGGAAAGCGGTCCCACCTCACCTAGGACCCTGGTTCGCGCCAAAAAAACGGTTGGAGAAGCTTCAGAGGTTGGGAATGAATGACTGCTTGAAGGTCTGTCTAGTTCGTCTCGCTCAGTGTATCATGATTGATCTTAATCAAGAACCTGTTTTTCCCCACTGACATACATCTCGAGACAACACAACAACCCCCCTCACACCTCAATCCACTATCCACCTCTCCCAGTCCGAAGGGGCACCCCTCTCCATCTATCTATCACCTCACTCTCCACACCTAAATCACCTCCCTACCCTGGCCTCCGCTCCTTCTTCGAGCTGTAAGTTCTTCAAATCGAAGAAATGCACCTCCGACTTCTCGGAGCAGGACAACGTGCCCATGCGCGTATCTGGCGACGGGAACGACGGTCCAGCGAACGACGGGTTCGGGGGGGTCCGAAGGAAACGAGTCAAGACAACGCCGTTCGTGTGGCTCAAACCAAAAACGCTGCAGAATACAAGTATAAACGGTGTTCCCCACGCAGTGGCAAGAAATCAAGCATAAAGCTATCTCAGGCTTTTGACAACATCTATGAACGATGGATTTGTAGCTACAGTCCGTCGGGATCAATCCAAAAAAGCACCCGCCTGGGTCGAAGGCCTTCACCTTCCCTTTGACACGCTGCAGAGCTTGCGTCTTGCCCTGCACTTGACACGTGGGGTCGAATGAGTTGATGTGAAATTCAAAAAAAGTACAATCTTCTTTTGAGCTACTAATAGCGATGGCCTCCAACATACTAGCGATGGCCTCCAACCTAGATGTTTGGGTCCAATACCAGCTGTACGATATAGCACCATTACATCATTATACCATTCAGAGGTGATTTCTTTCATGTATGCATTCAGTCTAAGTGCAAGAACTGGCTTCGAAAGCATGGAGCTGAACCACTGGCATCGATTCTTCCAGTGCGCAACGAGCTGAACCACGCAACAATCCCCCAAAGATTCAACTGAAGACCGTGGCCCAAAACGTTTACCGCTGCCAAGCCCGACGGATCAGGCCTTGCCACTGCTTTTGCCCTTGCCTGCCTGCGAAGGACATGGGGTGTGAGGATTGGTGCATCTCCAACTACTCTGAGCAGGCACATCAGCAAATCCATGGCATGTCATGTCAGTACCCACAACTGGTCCAGGTTGAATACAGGCCTTTTTTCAACCCGAATTGGTGATGGTTTCTGTGTCTTCTATCACTCCAGCTGTCTTTCTCAGGACCCAATCCCCCAAGATCCGCAGTGCTTTGCGCCTGCCCAGGGATTGGCACGATCTCAGTGGCCTCAGAACAGCTTTTGCCTTGTCTAGAGTCCAGTCTGCTAAATCAAGTCGGGAAATCGAAACACCACGACTGTTCAATCTTTCTTCACACCAGTCGTGTTGGTCTCAAAGACTTGTCGCACCTTGTACTTTCCGTCCGCAAGCTCGTGTATATGGCACTTCACCATGCGCCCTGGATCAGTGTAGAACGACTCGATGGACAGCGTTCAATAAGCTTGTCAAGGCCCAAGCTGTTCTTCGGGATGACTTTCAACAAATGCCGCAGCAAGAGAGTGGGTTCAAATAAACCGCCAAAGGTGTTTCGCAAAAGGCCCTCGGATGGTCCGCTGCTGGCCATCGCAAAGCATCTTCGGTTGCGTTACTCCCTGGCCTGAGTCTTTGAGACATTTTCCTTGTTGGACATCATGAGAAACCCACCCACCCACCCCTGAACCCACCAGAGCCACCCATGTGCCTGCTAAAGCAGAGCCCAGCGCCGCCAGCTCCGGCGACAAGTCCGAGCCCCGGAACTGGGCGTCCCCCGCATCGTTCCTCGAGGAGAAAAAACCCAGAAAAGGTCCTAGTAGCCTAATTAAAACTACCAATCTTAATTTGATTCTAATAGCTTCTTGTTACTACGAGTAAGGCACTTGTTACTAGTAGCGATGCACTTGTTCCTACTAGCTTCTTGTATTAGTGAAAATCAAAAGATGTCTTTTTTTTTGTGGCCGGCTCCCCCTACTAGTAGCGATGCACCTTGTTCCTATGTAGCTTCTAGCTGCTTACTTGTAGCGATGCACCTGTTGGTCATGTGACCGGTGAGCCTGGAGTTTGCATATGGAAGCAACTGGTCATTCTGCTGAAGATGAAAGCAACTGTGCTCAAGATTGCTCAAGTATCATGTTCTCTCCCTGATTGCAGCCAGGTTGCTCCAATGCCACGAAGCCGTAGCCATGCCCTTGACTCAAGCAAATCACCGGAAGAGCATGTTGCCAAACCATGCCAAATCAATTTATTGTTTGATACACCTGAGCCACTGCCCCCTCCTCACCAAACTGGGATTCCCCAACACAAAGAGTCCTGAGACCTCAAAGATCCTATCATCCCTTCAGCCCTTTCAGCCCTTTCAGCCCTTCGTCCACCGCGTGGCGCTCGCTGAAGGACTTGACCGTCCCACTCGAAGGGGTGCCCTTCGGCTTGGGAGCATTGGCAGCTGCACGCTCCACCAACTCCTGGGCGGCTTGGTCTCATTCCTCGTGAAAAAGAGACCAAGAACAGAACAGAAGACCCAAAGAGACACAAAGAGACCAAAAGACGGAGAAGACAGGACGAGAGCTCAAGGCCGGAACTTCGGGTGACCGAGTAGAGGACAACCAAGCACGCAGCCCGGTCACCCGGAAACGTCTTAGATGTTTAAAACTTCGAGACAACGAAAGACGGAGAAAAGGAGAAGACAGGCGGAAGACCCGAGGGAAGGAAGAGAAGGCACGACAAGCCTGAAAAAGCGCGCAGCTTATCACCTGAACCAAAGACACAGAAGGAAGGCGAAACCTGACCCTAAACTCAAGATACACCTGGGCAGGGCACTCTCCACTACTCTGATGGTGCCTGCTGTAGACTACTAAGGTCCAAATGGGCTGGTACGATTTAGTGTGACCAAATCCGGGTGTTGTGACGTCAGCCACTACCCTGCCCTGCCCAGGCCCACCAGGGAGCACGCAGCTCGGGGCTCGCAGGTCCAAAGGTCACACATCACCGTGAAAACGGCTCCGTTTCACGTGCGGAAGATGCGTGACTGTGGGCCTACCGTGGCCTGCCGCAGAACCCGAAACAGCCGCAGTAAAAAGAGGTTGGAGTGTTAAACTGTTGAACATCATCACCATGAACATGTTGTAGCAGGTACGTCAGAGTGGTCAACTAGGTGCATCAGCAGAATGCTTTGAGAAGGATCACGGGATTCAGCAACAATGATCATGGCTGAACCTCATATCTGATGTATCTACTGATTACTTGGGATCTTTAGGAAGTTCGACTCGAATAACAAACCAAAAACCAGGAGGTGAACGTGGCACTCACGGGACTCCGAGCACTCGGGACTCCCTCCATCCAAGATTCTAAGCTGCAAAGTTGTACCTGAAAGGCGTCGTGGTCGTGGCGTCGGTCCATGCGGTCCATCAAAGGGTCCAAGGGATCCCGAAATTGATGTGCAATTCTATGTATGGGGGGGGTGGCTCTGACAAACACAGAGAAGAGTCTAATTATATACTGTAAGTGGTCCTATATCTATATAATGTGATTATATGAGGCTATCAAGGATATCTGATGAGTCTCTGCAGTGCCAAGTCACATTTGCAGCTCTAGATCTACCATCCTGAACAAAAGCAGCATAAAGCCCGCCGGGAGAAAGCGAAATCTCAAGAATCTCAGATACAAGAAGAAAACAACATACAAATCTGGAAGCTCTGCTCGGCTCAGCTAAGAAATGTATGCAACTTTTGGCACTGTACAATTTTTGCAACACATTTTTGTATCTCCAGCCTTGCCAATGGTGATTTCAAACTGGACGGGTTTCCCCTTGAGCTCTTTATTTGATTCCTCGTGGCGCTGTCTGGAGTTGACGTCAATGAATCTCACCTCCTCGTTTTCTTTGTTTTTGGCCCTGCCTCGTTACTTAATTAAGTAGGCGCCTACTTGATTAAGTCAGGGACTAAACACGCTCCTAGCTACTTAAGCTACTATCTAATCTAGGAGGCAGGATAGCTCACGCTATTCATTTGGTTCCTAGATTTTTAGGGAAACTTGCAATTGTTAGTCGTCAAATCCGAATCTAGACAGCAGTTTTCTTCAAGTGGTTCCTTGAGCATGCTACCTTTGCTTCAGCCTTTGGCACAATCTTGAATGCACAACCAACGCACAAACATCGCTCCAACATTTAATCATCTCTCTTCACCTGGGCCACCCCGGCTGCCGCTTGCAAATCCGGTGACAGCTCGGTCTTGGAGAAGAACACGTCGCCTGGAAACCAGGAGATAGAAGTGGACAACCACCAATCTGCATAAGACTCCGTGTGACAAACCAATATTTACTAGGACCGCATCGCTACTAGGAACAAGAAGCTACTAGGGGCTCCTGGCATCGCTACCAGGAACAAGAAGCTACTAGGCGCTCCTGGCCGTACTACTAGGAGCAAGAACGCTACTAGGAGCAAACACTTTCAGAGGCCAACCACCGGGACCAAGCTTCAACGGTGCGGGACAAAGCTTCAACGGCGAAGCGGTTCGTGGCCTTCAGAGGGCACGGCAGACTCAATGAAGCCAAAGCCCTTCTCCGCCAAGAAGGTCTTCACCTCGGCCAAAAGGTGCTTCAGTGCAAAAACATGAGGGTCTGACTCAAAGATCTCCAAAAAGACATGGACCACAAAACCTTCGGTCAAAACCTTGATACGTCCCTCTCAGCATCTCACCGTGCCATAATTCGAGGAGCTCGCCTCGCTCGATCGACAGCCAACTTCGACGCTCACGGCCCCGGACGGCTCCGGTCAAACCCGTGTGACCCTGCTACTAGCAGCTTCTTGTTACTATATTATAGTAGTAAGGCCAGGAGCTACTACTAGCGTCCTTGCTCCTAGTAGCGATGCCCTTTGCTACTAGTAGCGTCTTTGCTCCTAGTAGCGATGCCCTTCGTCTTTGCTACTAGTTTTGCAACCAAAGCTCTCCATACCCAGCGGCACCGTAGTACGATGTCATTGGATCTGTGGCAATGCCTCAAGCGTTCAGGACAGAACTTCAAGGATGAAAACCCACACCAAAGCATGAACCTTCAGGCAAACCAATCTGCTTCTTTGCGAAACTGATATCGGGCAAGGAACCCCCTGCGTGTGAATGTATGACAATTATGTGGCACCAATTCCCTATAATTATACGCCTCATGCGAATGTCCCGAAATTCGAGCGTTGAGTGGATGGCTTCAGATCACGCCTGGTGTGCTAGGTGTGCCACTCGCTCCAGCTCCAGCAAAGCCAGGCGTGTAACCTGTACTGCAGCGGACACAGACTCAAAGACTGGTTGCATAGGTTCTTTCGTATATTTGCCATTTGCAGCCAAAGCTAGTTGCCCCAAGGCTGGTTCGCTTAAGCTTCAAAGAGGTTGGAATTCAATGCTCACCATTGCTGTCCGTTGCTTCTGTACGTATGTATTTTGTGGAAAGTCAAGCTTCAAAGAGTTCAAAGTTGCCGCCAATAAGGACATCTGGCTGGCTGAAAGATTCGTCGCCAGCCTGCTGCTGACATCTGCTGCATGTAGGCAGAATAGTCACCAGTTCCGTAGCCAGGATATGACGCTGCCTTGGCAAAGCGCCACGGGTACTTGAATTCGGATAAGCGCCATACCGACTGTTGTGCGTTGTACCTGGCGGCCTGACAGTGCGCCCTGCGCCCCGCAGCTCATTGTAACGTGGGGCCACGGCCAATTACTTTTCTACATACAAGGGACTTCAGGATTTCTACATGCGGATTCAATTATATATATATATATAAAGGAGCCACGTAGCTAGGATTGACGGATTTGAGGAGGGACCTCAAAAAGCCAGCGAATGCCTGCAAATCATTGGATGGTCTCGAGGTAAGTGGCTTGCCCGATTACTCCACAAGGCAAAGTCTTCACTTTACCATGGGCTGCGGTCCAGGTACATATCCGGGATAAGCCTGTGCGTAGGCAGCCTAGGTTTTTGTACAGCGGCAGCCAGCATGGGAGCAGCGGCGGCCGGATAGAAATGAAATGCACCAACAGGTTGCACAAGTTCCTTTCTGAGAAAATCCTGTTGCAGCCAAGCCACGTAGGAGTAGGCCTCATGCAGCACTTCAGTTCAAACAAATATAACAAATCCACCCCCCTGGGCACAGATCAGCACAAACGCTAAAAATCCAAGTCGCCGAAGGATATGCCTTAGTCTCCCAGAATGTTGGTTTGACAGGTCTGCAGCAGCACATAAAGTTGGAGGGCCTTTCTCGGTCTGCAAAGATCTGCAAAGTTCAGCTGCGATGACCAGCCAGGAAGCCCCCAACATTCCATCTACATTGTATTTCCCTGTGGATGTGCTTCGACAGCGGAGCCGCGTGCCATGATCAGAAATAAGGCAAGCTGCGTATCCATACCTGGGATGAGAAGCTTGTGCCACACAACGACAAGTTCTTCGTTTGCTGCAACGAGGTCACATGAACGTGATAAGCACGGGCGGGAGCTATTAGTGACTCCCTCCAACCTAATAGCAATGGCCTCCAACCTAGAAGCGAGCTGCAGCTCTCTCCCTGTTTCATGATCCAAGGCACGACATCATCATCGGATATCCTGCCGCACCGGGCGCCTTCTCCTCATCCTCATCGGAGGAGGAGTCCTCATCATCCGACATGGCCAGGTTCCGCGCTGCGTTTTCTTCGCGGCGACGCTCACCTGCAGCAGTTCTGTGGATCTTCCCGGGCGTGTCAGGCGATCTCAAAAGATGCAGTTCTTCTCCAAAAAATCGTCACACCATGAGGATCGCACTTATTTTGTTTGAAAGAACTTTTTACCATGGTTTATGTTTGACGCACCAAGTTTTGGTCAACATCTAACGCTCTGTCTAGACAACCTTCCTCTTTGGGGGCCACCCAAATCGACTTCTTCATAAACTCCAAGAGTTCAAGCAGTCAAGTCCTTCAGCTTCCAATACTCTGAAAGACTTTAATCTTCGAAGACCCGCTGCAGACCCTATCAGATCAGAGAAGTTATCAGATCTATCATTCTTCACAATTCTCACAGATCTTCACTCCCATTTTCATCAGAGTTTCAGGCAAGACCCAGACACCTAGAAGGAGTGAAGGGCGGATGGCGCTCGATTTCCACAAAATCTCTGGGCCTCTAAAGCTTAGGCTTCATTCTTCATATCGACTATCTATCGAATGGTCTGTAACAAACAATCACAATCATTTTGCATGGGTCTGTCAAAGGATGTTGAAACTTGTAGATGCTTTCTCTGCTGCTGTGATACGCCCCTTCCCAGCGCGCAAGTTAAGAAGCTACACTTTTTGCAGTTGCAGCGGCACAAAAGTCTAGTTCGTTTGAGAATCCACCAGGTAAAGTTGGTTGCAGAATGGACCACCCCTAAACTGCACCCAGAAATCAGCCATGGTCTTTTTTTGCCAAGCTCATGCCTTACCACTCGCAGCTTGTCATCTGAGCTGCCATTAAGCATAGAAGCTTTGAGCCAAGGCCGGCCGGGTGTCATGTAGCTTCCTCTCTCCAAGGACAGCAAGTATATGGCTGTGTTGGACAACACGTTTGACGAATGGTCGGCCCATCCCAAAATGGGCGATCCCAAAGCCTTCCCTGGGTGCTCCAGTCCAGCTCATCTCCGCCCCTTGGAGGCCGGAAAACTGCGCACGGACGGACTTTGGGAGTGAGTGGGCGTGCGACTGCGCTTCGCATCGTCAAGCTTAGTGAGGATGTGATAAGCCTCGCAGGGCAGAACTAAAAACTCAAAGTGATGGCAATAGAATTGAGCCCCTAGTAGCGTCCTTGCTAGCCCCTAGTAGCGTCCTTGTTCCTAAGGCCAGGAGCTCCTAGTAGCGTCATTGTCTAGTCTAGCACTGCCAGCGCCAAATGTTGGACCTACAATGAGGCAAAAACAGCCAAAAAAGAGAGGCGTGAATTCCCACGAGAACATCTGTTTGCGGCCCCAAATCCGATCTGTGACAAACACACCGACCGTTCCACCTTGTCCGCCTTGCCGATCTTCAGGTCACTCTCCAGCTCGTCCTAACGGTGACCCCGGTGGCCGACGTGGGACTCGTCCGACCCCCTGGGACCAAATCCGGACCTGTGTGTTAGCGGACCAAATCAGGTCAGCTTACCTTCATACTAGCTGGTTACCCAGCCCCAAGTCTTGGAAAACTCGTTGAACAATCTGAAGGCTGAAGAAGTAATGTTGACAAACATGCAATCTCCCCAAGTCTCGGAACGTAATCCAAATGAAATCATCCTGGCCAAAAAAGGAAGGAAAGTGAACGATCCCCGGTGTAAATAGCATCATTCTTTCTGCAATTCCTGAGGAACAGACGATGAGAACTTGTTCTTCGGGTTCGTATTCCTCGTCACCAGCCTGCGCAGTTTGAGCGCTTAAGACTCGCGCATTGCGCACAGCTCCTCAGCTCGCAAGTCCTTTTGAAGGACAAAAAGCAAGGAAAACGGTGCTTGCAAAGCGTCAACGACAGTCCAAAACGCTTGTGCCCCGCTTGATGGACTTTTGGTCAGAGATCTGCCATCCAAAACATCAGCAAGAGACATGGCCCTCTCTTCCCAACTAGCACCTGCTGTCTGGAAGCACCTTGATGCCCAAGATGTGCGATTCGGGACTATTTTGCCCTGTGTTGAGGTGACCCTGGACTGGACAGTTGAGGAAGAAAGGCTTTGTCTGTCCCCTGCTTGCGAACAAAGAAAAATTAGGCAAATTGAACTGAACACTTCATGCAAAAATCTGCAAGACACGATTTACCTCTGCCGTCTTTCTGTTTCTCTGATGACCGTCGAGACTGTTGCACGGAGCTTCCGCTTTTCTATCCGGGCATCCGCACACTCCCTCATGAGCTTCACAAACTCCTCTTTCAAGCGAGGTTGCAGGCGAATGAGTTTATAGTTTGATCGTATGAGAGTTGTGTGTGTGTGTGTCCACAACAGGTCGCTCTAACAAAGAGTGCGATCAAGTTTGATTGGCCAACTTCAAATGACATGGCACCAGCATGCACCAGCCAACATTGATCGACCACCAATCCTTCCAACGTCACCCCACCCCTCTTCGTTCGGCAAACACACACAAGAAGAGCCGAACGCCGGGCCAATCGCTTCCTGGAAGTCCAAGGAGCCGTCGCCGTTCTGGTCGAAGGTCGCGAACACCTCTTCGGCCACCTGCTGACAAACCTGCGAACCAACGGGTCGACAGGACGACGGGACGACGCGGTCTGGTCCGGTCCGGTCATTGGGGAGGACAACGGCCACCCCAGGCAGCTGAAGGGGACAAATGGAATCAAGGAGACTGAAGGACGACGAAGGACAACAATCTGACCATCTGGGATGTTCGGGTTGAAGGACCTGAAGGACGTGAAGGAGACATCATCGATCTGATTAAATGTGTTCCTAAATTTATTCGGTTCATTTTTGCGGGTCATCTTCATTCCATTGATGCTCCTGTGCCTGAGGGCCTGAATTCTTCCGCGGCAAAGGTTCGCCATCATCGATGTGAGTTGTTCAAGCTTCAAACCAAGTCGCACGGTGCTGACCCCAATGCATGCTGCATGTGTCCTATAGCTCTGTTCACTCCAAACGTGTCAATATCAGTCACAGTACCATCCCCAAGCGCAAAGCAATCCCGCCTCAGGTGTCCACAGCTTATTGACATCCACACTTCGCAGAACCTCCGCTCCAAAACCCAAAGGTTAAAAGCTGTTGGTTCGATTTCACAAAACCAGAAACAGCGGTTGTTCAGTGTCCCCCACCCAACCATCCCTTGAAAGG